GGGAAAGCCTAAGCTGTTTTGCAGGAACGTGTTCTTTTTACTGACATTTTCAGGAAAGGAGTCAAAAGTGCTCTTTGTCATATGATTTCGCTCTAGGTTGTCCTGTGAGAAACAGGGAGTTGGACACAATGATCCCTTCCAACTTGGGATATTCTGTGATTCTATGATAAGCGGGTTTTTTTTTACTTTCTGATCAATAAAGACGGAAGGATTTTGATGAGCTAAAAATGCCTGATTACATCTTTCTTATTTTGGACATTACATCTGTGTTACTACATTATTGGGTTTGCATGTTGGACACATAAAAACGTTTTCTCTTGGTTTGCCTTTATTGCAAGCAAGTGGTTTTACCGAATCAAAATGAGACAATTTGGTATTCTCAAAGTGATTGTTTCACTCTGGACCCACCTGGTGATCACTGGGCTGGGTGACCCTGGTAACTGCTACTGGATGTGATCCTGATGCTGGTCTGCAGATTCACCTCTTATCACCACAATTTTGCCCCATGATCAGGAGTCTCTGCTGAATCTGGCTCCATCCCTGCATCTGCCCAGTTCACCTCAGTACTGCATAACTGGGTCCTGCCTGACAGAGTGGTGGTTGTGGTTTTGGGCTTGACTCCTGGCTCCCTGACCTTTCAGGAGCCGCTGGTCCCCACTGCACCCTCACAATCTGATTCTGAAGGGATACCCAGGCTCTGACTTTTTATTCTGGTTCAAAATAAAAACACATTGCCAACTGCTGAGATCCCATCTGAGATGGGAATCCTCACAAAATCCACTTTCACTGTACATGGATACCTCTTACCTGAATCCCATTTGGGTATTAATACTGCAGCAAAGAACATCCTGTGATGTCCAATGCTCTGGTGACCGAGTGGGAACAGTCCACTGATGTAAAATGCCACCAGTTTCTCTTGCTCTCTATTCCAAATCCCAACCTTCTCAATACCAAAATCTGCTACAGGTTTTTTCAGAGTCTGCTGTCAAAGCCCAGATCCTCTCTCTTTTTTTTTCAGGAAGAACCTGCTGTGCCCTCTGCTTTTACTGGCGTGGAGATAGTTCTATGATTTGTATATTATTAATACTCAGAAGGCTATTTCTCCACAATATCTTCTGGTGACTGGACCAGCCTCAAAAGAGGCAACTCCAGCATGTAGCCAAGATAATATATTTCTGTCTTTGGTACTTTGAAGCTCAGCTGCGTGATTATTCTCTGGAGTGAATTATATCCTTCATTGCACTCTTCTCTGAGTTCAGTGTATTTTTTTAAGTCATCGTTTTCCTTATATATATAGTACTTCGACTCCCAGAAAAAGAGACTCTTTCCCCAAGGATACCATTAACATCTATATCATGAGGATCATGAGCAAGGCATTGAAATCCAACTAAAGTGTGGGAACACTTCATAGCTGGTGATTTTCCATATACTGCTCTTCAACTGAACAACAACTGTTGACCCAACCAGTTCTGCTTGCCACCAACTCCATGCAGGTTACTTGAGCTGACAGCACATATTCTTCCTCCAATAAACCCAGTGCTGAGTTCTCAGCAGGGTTAGATCCCTTGATCCACAGGAACCTGCAGTTCCTCTGTCACATCAACATTGACTTGATGTTGATGCTGTAACTGCTGTTTTTATGGCAAACAGGAGTGGACACCAACTGATGTGACAGAAATATACATCTACTACCCCCATGTGTATAGCAAAGGCAGGTGCAGGAGAACACCTAGAACTTCCTTCCACTCCTAGAGTGTCTGCAAATTCTCATGTGCTTTGTGCCTAAAACGTTTGCAGTGGTTTTTCTTCGTCTTTAGACAAAAACTAATT